TCAGTGGTGTAATGACTATTCTTTTCTTCTACATTGAGTCAGATGAGCATTGTAGAAGGAAAAAAATTAACTAATACTTGTCAAGTCTTGCTACGTTTAGCACCATTCTAAGTGTTTTCTGTATATTAGCTCATTTTATCCTTACTAACCATTAGGAACATTTCTGCCCATTCCACAGACAAGAAATCTATTTCACAAAGATTAACATGCCCAAAGCTTTATATCAAATCTAAGGCACTTGATTATATCAAATTGTAGACATCTCATCATTAAAATAAATAAATAAAAGAAAATGCTGCAATTCTAATTACAAGGTGCCATCAGTTGACATGTACATCCTGATTTCAGTGGGGTTAAATGTGCAAAACAGTGCATCTAAGAATCAATGACCTATAACAATTGAAAAATTCATAGCATGATTGTCTTCACTGTTATGTTATTCTACCTTGTAAAAAAATTAGACAAACATGCAAAATGATTTATGACAAATTGATGCGGACTTTATCTGGGATTTGAGTCCTGTTCTTTAGTCTATCTCTTCTCTCCTATTTCTTTTCTCCTCTCCCCTCTCTCTGCTTTCCGTCAAGGATTATTCACAGCTCTTCTACTCTTTTTAAGCTTCCTACTTAATTTTTTTGTGCCTCACTATGCATCTTATTTCATTGAGAAAATGAGGCCACTGGTCACGCGTCTCTTAACTTCTGCCCCCCTCCCCCACCATACTACCTGCAGAGAGCAGGTGTCCACACCAGCAGAGAGACTCCCTTCCTCTCTCTGTTTTCCAGCGCAAGTGCCCTCCCCTTGTGTTAGAGGCTGGCTCCTCCTTAACTTCTTACCCCTATTGCTTAATGTTTCCTCTGAAGTTATTAGTCATCCTTTTCTCCTAATCTGCAACACCCCTCCTACAAGTTTCTCCCCCTCAGCTTGTAAACATAACCAAGGCCCAACTCCTAACCCTCCACTCTTGTCTTTCTCCCTCTCATTCGAACTTCATGAAGAGTGCCCCACAAACACTGTCTTCATTTTCTCACCTCCCATATCTGCTTCAGCCCACCACAACTTCTCCTCACCTAACATTTAGTTGAAATTGCCCTTAATAAGCTCCTCAGTGACCTGGCATTTTTGAGATCCAATGAAAACGTTTTTGCCTTCATTTTATTGTCCCCCTCAACTGAGTTTGTGTGATATGGTTGATTTCTTCTTTATGTGAAAAGTTCTAGCTTGCTGCCTTCAAGGCAGCACACTTTCCTGATTCATCCTATCTCTTTGTTTCTTAATCATTCAAATACTGGCATTTTCCAGGTTCTATCCCAAGGCTTCTATTGTAGCCAGTTTCCACACTTTTCTCTGATGGTTCAAAATATTGCCAGCATGTTGACGAAATCCCAAATCTGGACCTTTTTCCCGAGCACTGTATCCCAAATATTTATCTTAAGTTCTGCCTTCTTTCTCACCTACTTAGAATTTCCACTGGATGTCAGTCATCTCATCCTCAGCATGTTCAAAACCGGATTCTTATTTCCCTTTCCTAAACCTGTTCCTCAAACCATTTATCCTTTCAGCTGATGGTGATTCAAATTTCCAGTTACGTAGTCCTCAAAACTTGTCATCTTCAATTTCTCTCTCTCTGTTGGACCTTATACCTAGACCATCAACAAATCTTGTCCCTTCTACCAACAAAATATATTCAGAATCTGACCACTTTCTCCATCTCCACTGCTGTCAGCCTTATCTAGTCCACCATCTTATCCCACCTTGATTGCAACAGCTCCTAACTGAGCTCCCTGCCTCATTCCTTGCTCCCCTCTGCTCTGTTCTCTACTGAACAACCAACATGGATTTTTTGGTCACTTTTTGTCACTTCTCTAACCTCATGTCCTGCCACTATGCATCAAAAATGTCCTTCTCACTCACACCACACTTGTTCCAACGCCATCATACCTGTTTCCCCAACCCCTAACCTGAAGCTTTTTTTTTGACAGTCTTGCTCTTGTCACCCAGCCTGGAGTGCAGTAAAGCAACCTTGGCTCACTGCAATCTCCCTGCCTCCTGAGTTCAAGCGATTCTCCTGCCTCAGCCTCCTGAGTAGCTTGGACTATAGATGCATGCCACCATGCCTGGCTGAGCATTCTTTTACTATGTATAACTCACTCTCTCATTTTTTTGGGTCTTTGCTCAAATATCTTCTTACCAGGAAGGGCTTCTCTTAGTATTCTATATAAAATAGCTCTTTGGCCGGGTGTGGTGACTCATGCCTGTAATCCCAGCACTTTAGGAGGCTGAGGTGGGTGGATCATGAGGTCAGGAGATTGAGACCATCCTGGCTAACATGGTGAAATGCCGTCTCTACTAAAAATACAAAAAATTGGCCGGGTGTAGTAGAACATGCCCATAGTCACAGCTACTTGGGAGTCTGAGACAGGAGAATCACTTGAATCCTGAAGGTGAAAGTTGCAGTGAGCCGAGATCATGCCACAGCACTCCAGCCTGGGCCATAGAGTAAGACTCCCTCTCAATAAAATAAAATAAAATAAAAATAGCTCCTTTTCCCTGCTTTACTTTTTGTTGATGACCCTTTGTCTTTTTGACAGAGACTCGCTTTGTCACCCAGGCTGGAGTGCAGTGGCATGGTCTTGGCTTACTGCAGCCTCTGCTAATGGGTTCAAGTGATTCTTGTGTCTTAACCTCCTGAGTAGCTGGGACTACAAGTGTGTGCCACCATGCCTAGCTAATTTTTGTTTATTTATTTATTTATTGAGACGGGATTTTACCATGTTGGCCAGGCTGGTCTTGAACTTCTGACCTCAGGTGATCCACCTGTCTCAGATTCCCAAAGTGCTGAGATTACATGCCTGAGCCACTGCACCTGGCTGACCCTTTGTTTTTCTTATCACATCTGACACATTACTCATATATTTTTTCCTGGGCTTCAGAATGGCAGATATACTTCTCTTTATTGACTCATGCATGGTACTACTTGTTTATTTAATTAGCTAGTTGTGTGTTTGTTTTTGATAGCAGTAAACTCACCAATAAACAAGAAACTAGAAGCATAAATCATTTTATAAGTGTGTGTACACAGTATACATATATACCTATATATGTGTATAGATATAGTTTTAAAATTAAAATATAAATAAATCTTTTTCTCTTTCACTCCAGTCTCAACTAGCATGTAAGCTACATGCATGCAAGGACTTTGTTTTGTTCTTTCTGTGTACACAGCATGTCAAATAGTGCCTAACACATAGGCACTTGAAAATAAAGTAAGCACTGCATATTTATATATCAATGTTTTCAAGAGTAATGTGACTATTGACATGTCCCAAACCAGGGGACACCTCTTTACCCCTATTCTGTTTGGCCTTCTCTCTCTATAGTGCTTTCTTTGACTTCACTCCCTCGAAGCATGAACTGCTGTGAACACTCCCTCTCTGCCTTCGCTTGTTCTGTCTTCTACCCCTGAAAGTGATCACCGCTGGCCCTTTGGCCTTAGGATACTTGTACAATTCCTTTTTCCACACATTCACGAGTCACCTCCAAGATGCTTTCTCTGTCCTTTCCAGACCCCTTTTCCTCCTCTGGGTTCTCCTATGCCAGTCTCCAGCCCTGTACTCACACACTGTGCTAAAATGCCTTGTTTCTCTGATAACCTTCTCCAAAGGCACGAGGTCCTTGAGGTTCAGGAAGCAAGTCTAAGACTTCAGCCTTGATCTTTTCCCACAGCCCTATGGGGTGAATAGAAGCAGGCATTAGATAAGATACCCAGCTCACACATAGAGAAACTGAAGCACACTCCATCATTTGCAAGCAGGAGGAATAGCTCAGCGCCCCTCAGAACTCCCTTCAGACCTCCTATTTAACCGTACCTTGGGGAGGGGGCTGGCTCTCTGTTGCCTCAGTAAATCTTACTATAAAGCCTTGTGCCCCTCTGGAAGGTAACCATGGATACTATTGAGCTGGCACAAAAGCCTTCAGTTAATGGAGACTACAAGTGGTTTTCAGGAGCTGAGGGAATTTTGAGGGAAGGGGCAAAACCTGGAAACACATGCAAAGGGAAGACTTGCCTCAGGCCCCTTGGCTGGGTATGTTTCAGTTAAGGTGGGCACTTAAGTTCAGCAGAGCACTGGTGCAGTGACAGGGCTCTACTCTGGGACTGGGATAGTAACTAGCTGTGAGGTGAGAATCAAAGGGAATCCGGGGCACTTTTTTTTTTCTTGGAAAGCAGGGACCCTGCTGTGAAGGGGGCTTGAAGGGGTGCTGAGCAAGGCAATGCCAGCAGCAACCCAGTCTCCTGAGTGATCCAGGCCAGGCTCTGGAAACAGCGGGGTGCCCTGGCCCCAGTCAGGGGACGCTTCCAGCAGCACTAAGTTCCTGTCCACATCTCTGCCCTCGGGGGTGTTTTCCTCCTTTCAGCGCAGGGCTACAGGCAGGCAGGAGAAATTCACACCTGGAATGTTGGGGAGGCGCCTTATTTCCTATGAGCCCTTGCTGAGCGCTGAGAGGGTGCTTATGCTCTTTCTCCGACCCCAAGAGTCCACAGTCTTATCTCACATCTCTTTATTCTCAGACGAGGCCCTTGTGGTGAGAGGGGACCCCCTATCTCCCCTGGACCCGCACCGAGCTGGGCCCTAACTTTGCAGTTCCCGCCGCCGCGGCACGCCCCGCGTAGTGGAAGCGGGAAGCCCAGCCGCACCGAGGCTGAACTCCGCCAGGTGCAGAGTGGGTGCGGATCAGGGCCAGTGAGGGTGTGTGTGGCCCGGCCTGCTGTTCCCTGAACCGAAATTCTCCGGGGAGGGAGAGAAGAGGAGGGTGCGGGAGATGGACTTGGAGGCGAGAGGTGGCGGCAGTTTCCAGGAGCTTTGACGTAGACTTGGAGAGGCGCCGAGCACTCCCACTGCTTAAGTAGAGGCTCGGTAGCCTCCGGGACGCGGAAGCTGGGGACAGCCACTCGCTCGGGAGCAGCCTGAGCATTTCCTCTCCGCGCACTCGAGGGAACTCTCTACACGCATTCGAGGGAACCCGGAGGGGCCCAGGCGGGTGAAGGCGGAGGGAAGTCCTTCTGCCATCCTGGACTAGAACCGCCGAGTCGGGAGGTGAGTGGGGCCCAAAGGACGGAGCGGGTCCCTGGCAGCTCCGCTCCGAGGAGGTTGAGGCTGCGGAATCAAGTGCGGGGCCGAGACTCAGCGCAAGGCTCGTAGAGGGGTGCACGGAGGACCCTAGGTTCAAGGAACTTAGAGAAACACCTTTCCAGGCTCTGGAAAGCCTCTCCTAAAATTTAGAAAGAGACCTAAAGGAGCCAATTTGAGCGCCGGGGCGCTAGCAAACAGGGAGTCCCGGAGAACACCAACTTCAGCACCTTGGACAGAGTCTCGTCCTCTGAAAACTTAGACTTGTCCTTCAGGAAAACCATCCTTCAAGGTGTCTCGATATTTTAGTTCGGAAAGGGACACAACAAATATGATTTTGAGTAGAGATAATGCATATGTGATATGAAAGAGGAAATATTTTTGAATAATCTTGTATCTCTAACATGCTCCTTCAAAATAAGAGCATGAGTGTTCAAAGACAGTTTCTGAAATATTTATTTAACGGTACCTCAACATGTCCTACTGCTGTTCAGAAGAGACAGATTATCCATCTTATGGTGTTATCATTAAATATTCCAATATAAGAGTATTCCCATAAACTATATTTTGCTTGCTTTCATGATATTACCATCTAAAAGGTTTGGAAATATAAATATAATGCAAACCTGAAAGTAAGCTGTATGTGCCCTTCCTGTTTTTTCTTTATGTTAGACTTGTTTAAGTGTGATATATATTTTCTATTGCCTGTGAAGGAATAGATAAGCTTTTTCTGACAATAAGTGAACATTTATGTTATTATTATTTTAAGGGCATCATTTCTCATTGCACTTGTCTGAAGTAGTAGCAAAAGAACAATATCGAAGTGGTATGTGGATGCCTCAATTTTATGGCAACAGACATTGAAATCCAGAAGAGTTGAAGACAGTCAGATTTTTTAAAAAAATCCTTGAGATTCATAGCAAGAACAGAGAAATTATAAAACATTTTTATGAAAGTTATATCAGAATTGCAGAACATTTTAAGTGTTTGTAAAATGCATATTGAGTTTACTCTAATGGGTTGAATATATGTCTCTTTGTTTCCACATGTATTCATACATAATTTTAGCACATTATCTGGTGTTAATTTTACTATAACATTTGACAATTCAAATGTATTTTTTTAAATTAAAAATCACTGTGAATAGAAAAGCATCTAAAGGTTAAGTATATTCAAATTCTTATTATATAAGGGTCCTAGATTAGGATAGCCTTCACTAACATATTATAGAATAGTTAAAGCCATGCAGAATTTTTTTTTTTTTTTGAGACAGAGTTTCACTCTTGTTACCCAGGCTGGAGTGCAATGGCGCGATCTTGGCTCACCGCAACCTCCGCCTCCTGGGTTCAGGCAATTCTCCTGCCTCAGCCTCCTGAGTAGCTGGGATTACAGGCACGTGCCACCATGCCCAGCTAATTTTTTGTGTTTTTAGTAGAGACGGGGTTTCACCATGTTGACCAGGATGGTCTCGATCTCTTGACCTTGTAATCCACCCTCCTCGGCCTCCCAAAGTGCTGGGATTACAGGCTTGAGCCACCGCGCCCAGCCGCAGAAAAATTTTAAATGTTCACTTTGTATTCTTTTAAACTACATTCTTCTGTACTAGGGAAAACAAATTAGCAGATTAATGTATTCATTTTATAAAGAAACAAGTCTTAGGAGTGCATATTTCTTGGCCTAATTATCTTGCATTTATACTCACTCCCAGGCCTGGCAATGAGTCATTTTAGATAGAATGGAACTTATCATATGGGAGCTAGGCTAAGATTTCCCTACTTTGTGACAATGATGTGTTTCCTTTGCTGGAACTAAGGGTCTTAAGGGCATACTTATTTTCTTTACTAAGTGAAGCACATGCAAGGACTGATACAAAATATTTCCATCCTGTGCAGTTTTACGGCCATGGCTGATCCTGGGAACAGAGGATGGATCCACCGCCCCTTGAGTCTCACCTGCTCCCTGCTCATTGTGGGAATTTGCTGTGTATCTCCTTTCTTCTGCCATAGCCAGACAGACCTGCTGGCTCTTAACCAAGCTGATCCTCAGTGCTGGGAATCCTCCTCAGTGCTTCTCCTGGAAATGCGAAAGCCTCGCATTTCCAACACTGTTTCAGGGTTCTGGGATTTTATGATCTACCTGAAGTCATCTGAGAACTTGAAGCATGGAGCACTGTTTTGGGATCTGGCCCAACTCTTCTGGGACATCTATGTGGACTGTGTGCTCTCTAGGAACCATGGCTTAGGAAGGAGGCAAGTGGTTGGAGAGGAAGAGAAAATCTCAGCAGCACAGCCACAGCACACAAGAAGTAAACAAGGTGGTCAACCCCAGCTCCCATGTCTTTTGAAAGGGTCAATCAAGTATGAATATACTGGAGTGTGAGGAAAAGGGAAATGGCGTTAGGGGAATCCAATGTCATACATATTCCTCTCAAGAGGTGAACCCCAAGAACACACAAGTGATAGGAAGAGATATAACACTTGTTTTTGCATAGCATAGTAGCTGTTTATATCAACATATTGTCCTCATCCTCATACTTCCTGTGAACAGCAGCAAGGAAGAGTCAGAAAGAAAAGAAAAAAAGTACGATTCCCAAAATACAACACAAAAGTGTAAAGAGATGCCCCAAGATCAACATTATTTTTTACTATTAGCCTGAACATTGGCAGTCATAACCTAGTATTTTCCACTTGCCGTGGAATTGAGAAGACTTGAATATAAGCTTAGGGAATATTTGCAGCACGCAAACTCTTGCCCCTGTTAAACTGAAAATAAACATTGCTTTCATGTAAATGGAGAGGCCCTTTAAGAGGTATTCAGTTGAAGAAATAAAGAGTAAAAAAGTCAGCTGGCATGTAGATTCACTTCATGTTGCTTTTTGAATGAATCTCAAATAAGTAATTAAGACCAATCTGAGTAATTTTTAGTAAGTTGGAACTTGCTACAAATTTAGAGATTTTTCACTGAAGTAAATACTATATTCAAATAGTCTCATCTGAGGGTATAGAAAATATGTCCCTTATACAATTAGAATGAGGTTGCATAAGCCTCTCTGAGTTATCAGAGAGATGCCTGGACCTTATTCATACTATTTTTATTCCTTTCTGATGTCATTTCAACCAATGAGCATTGAAACCTTGTACCAAGAGCTGTTTGGCAATAACTCTTTAGAATTATATATGCTACAGTAGAAAACAGGGGCATAACTAATTTTTACATTTATACATTTTATTGTTAGAATTGTTACATATTCCTGTAATCTCCATATTTAAATAAGAATTAACAGTGGTAGTTCTAGTGCTACCCTTTCCCAAGATATTTTGGAGCTTTTATATATCTAGCTTGTTTTAACCTTAATAATTAAAAATCCTCATGATTTGCTGATCCAAAAAATCCTGATAATTCATAGCTGTAATTTATAGATGTTTATTATTTTAGTAAGTGTTATTGTAATTCAAGCCAGTTTTATTTTTAGAGGAAATATTCTTTCACCAGTCTGGCTACTAAAGTGAAAATACCAAATGAATATTTTTAAATGTTGGTTATTCATATCATGAAAATATTTTGAACAGAGGCTGCCCAGGAATCAGCACCAGTAAAGAGTATATATTTTTTTATTCTATGCTGCTGAGGATGATCTGTAGGGCCTTTTCTTCAATATTTAAAAAATCATATTTAGCTGTCATACTCAAATCACTAGCAATATTTTTTTCTATCTTGCATTCACTTTGAATAACTCAAAGAAATTGTCCAATGAAAAAATGAAAATATTATTTGGATTCAGCTGAACACGAAAACGTTATGTACATATATAATACACTTATTTTATAAAGGTTTTCCCCAAGTCAGCTTCAGCTTTGGAGGTCACTTCCTTCATCTTGCTAGAGAGTTGTTAGTGATTCACCTGGCCTGAAAACTTTAGAGAGCTGGTATGCAAGTAGCCAAGTAGCAGGAGTGAGCATTTCAGATTATTGAGGTTATTTTAATGTTTGACACAAACAATTGCTTACAGACCAAGAAACAAGACTTTCCATCTGGTTTGTAAAACCATAGTCAAAGAGGGTCTTGGGTCAAGGAAATGCCATGTCCAAAACTGAAATAGTTACAGGAACATTGAGATTTCATCTCAAGAGGCTTAGTTAAATCTCTAGTGGTTCAACTGGGCTCTGAATGTACCTGCATGGATCCTCCAGTAATTTTTTCTTTTGTCCCTGGGGATAATATGTTGTTAGATTGGGATGGGAGTGAAGGTGAAGAAGTGCTTGTCTCTATAGTTCTCAAGGAAATCACATCATCAGGGCAGAAGACAAGAAGAACTAAAATAAGTGTCTACATATTATGCAAAAAAGTTCTTTTTATTTTGTTTTCAAATCAAATAGTTTAAATGCACTTGATAAATCTTACTATGATCAAAAACATAAAACTCCTATATAATTTTGCATGCTAATATATCATATTTGTTAATACTGAGTCAACAAATATGAAAACAAAAAATATCAAATAACTGTGTAACTGTGAGCAGGTTAACTAACTTATTTAGCCCTCAGCTTTTTCAACTGAAAAAGAAGTGTACAGAAAGTAGATGATATGCAAAGTCTCATCTTTTCTGTTCCAATGTTCTATGATTCTATAAAAAAGAATCATATGAAAGGCACTTATTTAACTATGTGCCTGGAAGAACCTGGAAGAGCCTTCACCCCAAGGACAGTTGACTGAGTTGGATGATGACCTGGATATTATGGCTGTTTATAATAATGATGAGCAGGAATAGACGAGGTTCAGAAATAAACGGTCTAGAGATGTCTTTATGAGAAAAGCCTCTACAGATCATTGTTATTTAGTCTAGAAAGACATGGGCTAATAACTGAAGTATCCAAGAGAAGGTATGAAGAAGAGGTAACCAGGAGCAACCAGTTAACCACAAAATTCTGATGAGTTATGTCAAGGAAGAAAGAGAGAAAGACACACACACACACACACACACACACACACACACACACACAGAGAGAGAGAGAGAAAGAGAGAGAGAGAGTTAGGGAAAGAGCATACTGATGACTCCTAAATAGAAAATAATAGAATTGAGAGTAACTCATGAGTTAGTAAAGGCTTCAATGCAAATGAAGAAATTTCAATGTACATTCTTCTTCGTGTCAAAATGGTGGCCTCCTCCTTCAACAAACCTTGCTCTGCCACTGAGAGGGACAAAAAACCCTGCCTTCTGGATCCTGGTATTTTGTATGCTCTAGAAAGATAGTGAGTCTTTGTTTTCCCCTGTGATGAGAAAATTAAAATTTAGATTTATAAACTGATGGTGTTTGCAGCTGGTGTCACACTAGCTGGCAAATGTTCATAGTGCTTATATTTTAAACACTAACCACAAGAGAAAACAGTGGTTCAGAAACAGAATAGATGCTCCAAGTGCTTGATTTTCTACTTCACCCACTCCAAGAAATTTTCTAAGCCAGTGTATTCAGCAATTACCATCTAGAAATCTACTATTAAGAAACATTTAGGCCGGGCGCGGTGGCTCAAGCCTGTAATCCCAGCACTTTGGGAGGCCGAGGCGGGTGGATCACGAGGTCAAGAGATCGAGACCATCCTGGTCAACATGGTGAAACCCCATCTCTACTAAAAATACAAAAAATTAGCTGGGCATGGTGGCACGTGCCTGTAATCCCAGCTACTCAGGAGGCTGAGGCAGGAGAATTGCCTGAACCCAGGAGGCGGAGGTTGCGGTGAGCCGAGATCGCGCCATTGCACTCCAGCCTGGGTAACAAGAGCGAAACTCCGTCTAAAAAAAAAAAAAAAAAAAAAAAAAAAAAAAAAAAAAAAAAAAAAAAAAAAAGAAACATTTAGAGATACAGTCAATGGTGTAGTCCAAGGCTATTCATTGCAATATTATTTATAATAATAAGAAACCTGGAAATAATCTAAATATCCCACAATAGGGTAGTGGTTAAATAAATTATAGTATAAAGTGTGGTTACACAAAACTATGGTTATCTCCAGAAGGTTATATTATGGGCAGTTTAAATTTTTTTCTTTAAATTTCTGTATAAATAATTATATAATGACTATTTTTCACTTTTTAAAAATTAGACAAATATTTCAATGCCTATTAATTGACAAAGAAATGTGTTTATTATAATTTCTTTATTTTAGATTATGTAACTAAACTGCATAGGACCCAAGACTTTGCACAAACACGCATTTACATCTATTTATCTGAAATAAATATATACAGAGTTTTGATATTAGAGTGGCAGAAACATCAAACCACCCTTAAAAATAATTTATTGATATTTAATTAACCAGAAAATAATTTGGTGATCTTAAGAAGTTTCATTTTTCTACTTTCAGGTACATATTCTCAGCTCCTAAGGATCGCTTTCTTAAAGAAGAAAGAGTTGATTGAAGATTTGATAAGCATGCATGTGCATAGGAGTGGGTCTAGTGTCATTGGAAAAGTGAACCAGGAAATAAAGAGAAGATAATTGGAACTTGGAGCTAATTCATGCCTTGAAATTAAATATATATATATATATATATATATATATATATATATATAACATTTCTCTTAACTGTTGATTATTTATTTATTTTAAATGGTGGAAATGTCCAGAGGTAAATATTAACCCAAATTCTCTCAGTATACTTATTTAAAGCTTCATTTTTTTTAGGCTCCTAGCATGTTTCTTCAAGGTGACATTACTGCCAGTCTATCCCCCAGTCTAAAGGAGTTAAATAACTTCCAGAGATTACTGGGGGATTGTTTGTATTCATTTAATAGTTCATTTTGGGATGCTTGACATGTTAATAAACTAGTGTGACATACATTTAACTTGAATACACTGCATGGCTTCCAAGCCTTTAACCACTGGATTGCTTATGCACAGGCACATAAGGGACTATATTTATTAATTACTGGTTACTGACAATCTGTGATATCCGAATCTTGTTTGAGAGCATATTTTTGAATACCGAATGAAGCAAAAAGTAAAACAAAACAAAAAAAAAACACTGGCAATAAAAGCATTCTTCTAATGAAAACAAAATTAATAAAAGCTCTGGACCCCAGGTAATGTGATTGGAGTCTCTTTATTTCAATATTTAATGTTACCACTAATGACATCCAAACACTAATAAAATAATGTTTAAGTGTAAATAGGTACAAATTATTTCCCACTAAGCATATTTGCTATTTGATTAAATATTATAACTCTATACATGGTTACACTTTGTACTGAAAAGCAAAATAAAGTGAACAGCATTATAAGAGAAGAACCCATAAATAATTATTTCTCTGAAAAATGACCAGGCCTGAACAAGGTTTATAGCAGAGAAGTCCAATTAGCAAATGTATTTGAGTTTGAGACACAATGCTATTTTTATCTCTAATTATTCCCAACTCTCCAATCATTCTATTATAACCAATATACAGGATTGACAGCCGGTTTGAATTTCAGGATATGTTAGCAATTCCCTTGCTCTTTTCAGGTCTAAAGGAAGCCTCAGTATATGTTTTCATTGAAGGATTAGGGCCCTCTTTAAACTAGGAATTGTTTTTAAAGGGTTATTATCAGAAAACACAGTTTCATTTGAAGATGAGCTGAGTCTTGACCACAGGGAAAGGAAGCTTGGGCAAAGAGGCTGGGGAGAAGGCCTAGCCTCAGCTACTGGTTGGTTGGGAAAATTAGTATTTAAGCAAAAAGCTGCCACCCTTTGACTACCTTTTCTACATATAGGCTCATGATTTTGCGTTCTGATGCTCTAATGTTTTTCATCGTATTCTTCAAAGCTATCATGCAAATTCATTATCTCATAAATCATCGAAGAGATACTACACTTGGAGAATGAGCTTGCAGAAGAGCCTGGGGTTCTTCCCTCATGTTGGTACTCCACTACAGGGAATGCAATCTTTTTCTGTAGTCTGACAGTAAATACTACAGGCTTTGTGGGCCATCCAATCTCTGCTGTAACCAATCAATTCTGCCTTGACAGAACAAAAGCATTATCGCAATACATAAATGAATGAATATGGTTGTGTTCCAATAAAACTCTGTTTATGGACACTGAAATAGAAATCCATACACTTTTCAGATGCCACAAAATATTTTTCTTTGGACTTTTTCAATGGTTTAAAAAGATGTAATAACTACGTTTAGCTCATAGCCTGTTCAAAACAGGGAGTGAGCAGAATTTGGCCCAGGGGCTACAGCTTGCTGATGAAGGGCATGCTTATTAAACGTTTAAGGAACAAGCTGGGATGAAGTAAAAAGGAGAGTAACTATGCTAAATGACAAAACTAAAACCAAAAGTTTAGGACAGGCTAAAAAGCAGATTAAAAACTATTAGGATGAGATGGAACAGGGATAACCTAGTCCTAATCCCATCCAATGGGACATTATTTCACTCTGTAAACGGTTTTAGGAATTACAGATCATATAAAAATCTACAACCTCTATGAATGTTACATGGCCTGCATCTCAAGATAATAGACAAAAACATTGAAATCACCACAATATTTATTGAAAGGAAGTACAGAGTAGTGGTTATAGTATAGGTTCAGAAGCTGAGTTTGAATCTCAGCTTCATCAAGAAGTGGCCACATCACTTTGGACAGGTTACTAAACCTCTTTGTGCCTCATTTTCATCATAAAATGAGATATATACTACCTAGGTTTCTTGTGAGGATTAAATGAGTTAGCACATAGAAAATGCTTAAAAACTAAGTGCTCTAACAGTCAAAAAAGGTTAGCTACTACTTCGCACATTAGTAAGTTAAGCATCTATAACCTAATCCAACATACAGAGAAAGAAGGCACACAGATGCTTTGGTGAAACTTGTCAAATGTGGAGGTTTTAGAGACAAACATTCATATTAAATGTTTTATTTTGAGATACTTGATTCATATACAGTTATAAGAAATAATACAGAGACATCTGTATGCCCTTCATTTAGTTTCCCCAATGGGACCATCTTGCATAACTGGCACAATATTATAACCAGGAAACTGATATTGGTATAATCTAAATTTATTCAGATGTTACCAGTTTTACATGTAGTCAATTTTGTGTGTGTGTGTGTGTGTGTGTGTGTGTGTTTAATTCTTTGCTAAGCCTATTCTCCAGCAGAAACATCAAGATAAAAAATTAGGCCATCAATTCAGTAATTTACATGATACTTGAGGAAGACATCACAGGCATCCATGAGGTCACACGCTTGAATGTTACTCTGTAGGTATTCATGACCATTGCCTGCAGAGATCTGACTCTGCCATTTCTTCTTTCCTTCTTCATCCTCTACTCACCCCCTAACCCCCAACCTTTACTCTGAAATGAAGACCTAAGATACATAAGTAGAGAGATCCAAAAACAAAACTTATTTCTTCATAGTTCACACCAAATATTAAAAGAAAGGTAGAAGTCTTAACTCTTTTAATACAGATATGCAACTGAATTTTGTCATCACACCAAGAAGTCTTTGAGCCTGGACTCCATTTCACTCCAAACTGGGCAAGGTGATTTGATCGACAAGAGCAGAGAATGCCCTGCACACTCGCTGAGCTCCGCTGTACAGATCCATGTTTACTGAAGACTTCGGGCCTGAAGTCAACAAACAGGAGAGTCAGAGAAACATGCTTATAAGTTCTCACAAAGATCTTGATAAAGTTCTCACGTGGAGATGAAACAGAATCTATTTTTTCCTTAGTTCTTGAGGACAGTGCCCTTAAGTTAGCTAGCAAATAAGATGGCTGTTATTTACCATGATGAATAGTATGAATTCAACCAGCCATATGTTTTAATGAAGCATTTTCCCACAGCTCCTAGCACAAATTGGAGTAGCCAGAAAGCCTACGATTGGCTCCAGAACTCTGGTGTATATCAAAATCACCTGGAGAGTGTTAAAACGGATTGCTGGACCTCACCTACAGAGTTCAGATTCTGTTCAGCTGGGACAGAGCCCGAGCATTTACACGTATTGTTAAGTTCCCAGGTGATACTGATGCAGCCAGTCCAGACACCCCACTTTGAGAAACAGGGCACTATAGTGACCTGATTAATGGTTTGAGTGGCCTCTATGATCTGTTGTACTAGGAACTGTGGTGTAGAAACATCTACAATTTGGGAGGTATCAACTAAAATTTTCATATGCATAATCTTTAACTTAAAGAGTTCTGTTTTTAGGAATTGATATTACAAACATACTTACATTTGCACATAAAGATACATATTATAAGGATACGTACCAAAGTATTTTTGAGATAATAAAAATTGGAAGCAACTTAATTATATACTAATAAATAAATTATGGTACATTTACACCCTGGGATATTATGTGACATTTTAAAAATGACATTTCTCAGTGTCTAAGACATTGAACAAGTGAAGAAGGCAAAAGCATAGTATAATCTAACTTATGTTGAAAAAGTAAAGACATACGTATATGCACAGAAAACAGTTTGAAGGAAACTCACTAAACTGTTAATAGTGGATGACCTCTGAAACACAGGTGGGAGGGAGTGAAGAGCATGATGATGAATTCATTTTTTAAAAAATCTGTGTACTTAGCATTTTAATTTACAATAAACATGCAGTATTATATTATTTGTGTAATTAATAAAAAAATAAGATCACAGGAAATGAAAACATGGACAGATTTATTTTGTTAGTTGTTTACTTTTTAGCTATGTAATTTATATTGTGGGTCCATCTGTGCTGTTTTTTGTTGAACATAAGGAGAAAGGGTTCATGATTTTTAATTCCACTTATCCTCCAATACTGTTCCAGAGGACCTTGATTAAATAATATTTTATTGTCTAACAAACCTTCTCCAGAAGCAAACTTATTTTAAGTCATTGTTTCTCAGACCACAGTGATAAAAACTTAAAATACAGCAATAATAAATAGGAAAGCCATAATCAATTTCTTATACTGTAATTTTTCTTATTGTTATTTGTTGTTTTCTCTTTCAGCTCTAGGCCCTTGAAATATTAAAAATAGCCAAAGATACTCACCTAACACCTAGCATGTTGCTTGGCATATACTTGGGATTAAATAAATGTAAGGACTTAATTAATATAGCACATAGGTAGAGAACTAATGAGATGTTAGATGGAACACTTGTGAAATTGGCAGTCCAGAGAAAATCACAGTGACAAAATAATTCACTTAAATGTAATTAAAGTCTATCTAGCATTCAAATAAATCAGGGATGTGAGAAGAGGCTACAAGAATGATAGATGTAGAAATGAAAAAGTATGAGGTTTTTTAGCCTGTGTTCACTCTTCTGGGCAACCAGAATACTGAGCCCATATCTTATGTACAATAATTAATTAAGCAAGCCAATACGTATTGAATAGCCACTCTGTACTAAGACCTTTCCGTTGAGCTCCAGATTGTACATGTTAATTGCCTCTCTCATGTCTTCATTTGGATGTTTCTCAGGCAACTCACAATATGTTCAAAACAGAACTCTTGATTTGCCAACTGTGTAACAGTTTTCCCAGC